ACTGACAAAACAGTCTGAATCGATAATTCCATGATTTTGGAAGTTAACGAAGATAGTTAAACATGTAAATATAAAAAAAAGATCATGCCATCAAGAGGTGAAGAGCTTACAGGAATAATTCCTGCTTATTCAGCGAAATGAATTGATTGAATATATTAATGTCCAACCTCACTGAAATGGACGATGCTTTAAAGATGGAAGAGACTGGAGATGCTAACCAGATAATCTGATAGCTTACAAGGTAGAACTGGCAGTTTGTATCTGCACAAATACTCTGAATTTTAATGAAGACTCCTTCACTCGCCATGTCAGGGATTAATGCTAAAATTACACTGCTGGTTTGTATGGAAAAAAATAATTAATGCATTTCTGTATTGATCTTTATTTTCACATCAACGTATGTAACAGATATAATTCTGTAACACTTTCTCTTCCCTACGTACCTTAAAAAGAATAATGAAGGATTCGTGTTTCTCATGAACTTTTCAGCATAAAGTTGTACTTTAAATAATACACTTTTATGGTGAATTTGTGCAAAATTTCAGTGAAAACTGTGCATTAGGGAATAAATTTACACGAATTGTTTCATACGTTCACTTATTTTGTTTTGCTACAATAACATAGTTGATTTATAATTTGTTTCTAAATATGGGTAAAGCTTAGGAGGGCTATTCGGAAATTATTGAGACATTTACTTTAACTTCATAAAAGAAAAGATCAATTTATCAAGAACAAATAAAAGAAATGTGCAAATTTTCTAGTAAATATTAGATAAGTCCCGATGAAATTTAAAACTTGCATCTGGAGCAGTCCGCAGAGATTCTATATTCAACGTCATTTAAAATAACGTCACTTCAGTAATAGATCTTTCTTTCTCACATTGAAACGATCGGAAAACGTAAACTTCTTTTTCTGTAATCACTAAAAAACATTCTAGAAATTAAAATGACTCTTTTCTTAAGCTCTTCAATAAAAAATTAATGCGTGTAGGTACCTCATGTCAAATTGCCATGAACGTCATTTACAGTTTGACTAGCAACTTAAATAGGACGTTATTTAGGCTGTGATAATTAATGGTCGTCCGGCTCCTTTGCTTTCACCCTGGTTGAATAATTTGTCAGGAAAAAGTCTTAATAATGAACTAAGCCCTAGATATGTTCCCTTCACCTGCAGGTCCTTGGTCTGGACAGTTCTCCCTGGTGCTACACAAATTTTATGCAAGTCCGCCTTGACGTCAAATTTCATTTTTTTTGTCATAATCAGATTTCTATACTGCACGATGAAAATCTTTGATAATCTCCGTATATCGAATCGAAATTCTATCAAACTTGCGAAATATGAAGTCAAAATAAAATTGAACAATTACATATATAATTCAAATAATTTTCCCACGTACTCTGAGTCCACCGGAAGTTACTGATTTTCATTACCTGATATTGTGACAGCGCCAGGTATCTCTATCTAAATTGTGCTTAGCTTAGTCCTAACATAATGTAGCATGTAATTCTGGTTACCTGATATCGCATAGGCAAATAAAGCAGCAGTTGGCTTGTACTGTTTTTTCTCGGCACCGTTTTCATGTAAGCCATGTGTTTAAATATTTAACAATATCGCAGGCTACGAAAGCTTTCGTGTCATCGGTTAAAGATATTTTCCCAATATGACATATACTGCTGAGCATTCGACAGCTAATAGCTTTTACGATGACGGTGACATTCTTTAATGTCAGAATAAATGTTCACCAATATTATCCTTCAGAGTGAAGTCGGATATCATTCATAATCAATTTTACTGTTTTGTTAAAATTCTTCGTTTTTAAACATGTCTTTTAAGGACTTTTAAGGACTTAAAGTTTAATTATAGCATTAACAAGCTGTAAACTGTGCAGTGTTTTATAATCCCCATTAAGTTACGATCATATGCCAGAAGCACAGAGTTGTCACCTGACCAATCAGTTTAATAGAGTCAAGAGACAATATGTTAGACTCGAGAGACATACATCTCATACACAGTATTTACAAACAATATATGGTATATATAATGGTAAAACTGCCATCAAACATATATTTTGTATAACACATAATGATAGTTTCAGTAACTGAATTAATAGATTGCTTATAATGTTCTAGCTACGTACCAGAATTTTCCTAAATTACATAATTCTTTAAACATTCTGCATACTAAGTCTTTGTACCAATTTGAAGACACTTGGTCTTCGAGAGTAGCATCTTTTTATGAATTTTTGTCGTAATGTACGTAATTTTAGAATTAAATGGAATTCATCTTCTATGTCCCCTATAATTCACAAAGATTGCATATTCTGTTATTTTTGCTGTTCAGTCATAGTTCAAAATATAGTATACTATTTACTATATGTATTCTAAGTACTCGGTTCACTTTTTTTTTTTTACATCCTTAGCGTTTTGCCATCCCCATATGTTCGTTGTAATCTCCCCTCACAGTTACATGCATTTATTGTATGCCTGATAGTGTTAATACATTTAGCCTATAATTATAAGATGCTGAAGCTGTAAAGTTTAGGCAACTTTACATGGGGAATGGAACTCACGTCATCAAAAACAATATATAAGTGACAAAGGCTAAAAAGTCTACAAACCCTAGCCTTGAAACTACCATTTTGTTTTTACTGTGATTGCTGATTTCTGATCGTGACAGGTGGTGAAGCTTTCTGCAGGATGTTATATAACCTCAGAAACTCATAACATTATCATTAACATTATATATATATATATATATATATATATATATATATATATATATATATATATATATATATATATATATATATATATATATATTTGCCTGAAACCATAAAAAATTCTTTTATGTATACTATAGGAAATGATCTGAAATATTTCACCTATCCCTCCATTTTATTCATGTGATCTCTCTTTTTAATCCCGTAATAACATGTATTCTGTACACAGTTTAAAAACTGAAATTAACGTTAAAAATCACTGACGTAGATTTTTCTTCCTTGGTCTAAGTCATTGACGCTTGAAGGATAATAAAGAAAATATGACCTCAAGGTATATTAATTTGCAATATTGCGATTTCATCCCCAGAAAAAAATTGCAGAAACTGCATGACGTCAATAGTTTTATAACTGCATGATTTTCAGTTGTCTGCGAGAAAAGATCAAGAGAAAATCAACAATAATTTTCTTTTTAAAGAAAAAATCATTAAACCAAAGAAAGATTTTTCTATTCGAACTTCATTAACTCCTTTTCTGAAAAATTGTTCACGTCAACAAAAACCTTGCAGCACGTTGCAGCACCTGATTTTAGAATCAGATGACAATTTAATATCGGAATTTTCATTAGATCTTAGACATTTGTACAAGATACACTGCAGAAAACTCCTTAGTAGATTGTTAATATCCGTATGACTGATTAATCGTGACTCCTGAATGACAGACTGGATACAAGCTGAAGAAGACACGGGCATCCGAAATATTTAAATAACGACATTATAGTTAACAAAATTTCTAAACCTAATTCCTTTTTGGGAGTTGAATTCCTAAGGCCATCACGCAAAAACCGCGCAATGATTTTGTATGAAAAAAAAATGTTCCACTTCTATGCCAGCCAATTTACTCAGAAGTGTACATTAAAAATGAAATACATGTATATGCATCCGCTGAAGAAAGTTAACACACAATATCTTTCATTTCCATTTAACATTTTGTAGAAAATAGGTTGAAAAAAAATTATTCTACATACGAAATTAATTCTAATTAATTTTTTTTCAGCTTTCATGTTAATGGGAACTATAAACTATGATCATTACATATACGACCCTACAATACATTTACAAATTTGCAGAATACATATTAAACTTTTGTTTGTTTGTTTGTTCGTTTGTTTTTTGGTTTTGTTTTTTGTTTGTTTGTTTTTTTGTTTTTGTTTTTTTTTTTTTTTGTTGTTGCTTTTTTTGTTAAAAATGACTGCATATCATGCAGAATACATATTAAACTTTTAAAGTTGAACGAACAATTTGACAGTATGTATAATGTATTGTTATTTTTGTTTGTTTTGGTTGAAATGGAAGATTTCAACATCATTAATAACAGCAAAAAAATATGCATCGCTTTATTGTAAAAACTATTCAAAACTCAATAAAATATTGCCTACTGATAACCAATTTTGATAAATGTACCTCTAAAAATAGCAGTAAAAAGGGGGTTTAAGTAATGATTTCTTCCGACAAACATTAGCAGAATTTGGCAATACTGTTTCCAATAGTCTTTTCGGGTGATTAGAAAGCTTTTTAACGAGTATGATAATTGTGCAAAATTAAATTGTTTTTCGTGGAGAAAAGGGCCCATGTGACATTTACAGCAACCTCTGGAATACTCAGTAGACCCGCCATCCTTTTGACTATCTATAAATTTGTGTTCAAAGAGTTATTTTCTCACCAAGCATAGCTAAACAATGATCATAAATGAATGCACAATACACATTCCAACATCTTACTTTAATTTTCTTTTGATCAAAACTTTTTACTTTAATTTGTAGCCACTTATGTAATATTGGTTTCTATTTACGTACATATGTACATGTATTTAAAAAAATACCTTTTTAAATAAAAAAAAATTAATAAACATTTTCTTGCAAAGCTATAACTGAATTGATTAAAATCAGTATACTAATATAACTAAATATGAAATACATATAGTGAACAAAATCATATTCAACGAGTCCTAAAATCCGAGCTCTCCGAGGAAATAGAAATTGTCGTCTGGGGGAAAATGGTAGAGACACCGGTTGTTCGTCTGCAGTCGGTGTCTGTAACCGTTGTCATTTCAAGCTGAGGTGATATGAGGAGATCGGAGATCATGAAGATATTGATTATTAATACAGCTTCCTCCAATATCCCTAATTAAAACCTTCCTGGAGTTTGTTTACACAACTGTGATGATCAGTTATAATTGCGCCTCGTCACTTTAATTCACTGAGCATTTTCATTTGTGTTTGTAGATTAAGCCGGGATCGAGCTAGTGAATTTTGCTGTATTCCTCTGCTGGAGCAGGTTTTTTAACCCAACATCTCCAATAAACTGAATTTTAATCCTGTAAAACAGACAGGATAAACCATTTCCTGTCGACTGGCCTGTTTAATAGGATTTTCGTACTGTTTACGAGTGACCATGCAATTCTAGTTTCTTTCGTGAAGCCGTCAGAATCATTAAAGAGGGATTTGTTCACAACAGTTATGCTTTGTCTACAAAGCTCAATGGTACAATTTACTTATTTGTTTTAAAGGGATCTTTAATGATAAAGGAACTACAAAATTTTATACGTAACAATTGTGATGGAAAGTCTCATTACATTGTGGAACTGATGTAAGATAAAGAATTCATTAAACGTATCCATCGATTTTAACACTGTTTGGGAATATCGGCTCACTGTTGATAAAACCGTGTCTTCTATTGAAGGATCGCTAGTTTACGGCATTATTTCCGATCCTGTACTTACTTCACTTAGGAGAGCCATAAATCAGTGTGCGTTTAATTTACAAATTATCATTTATGACCGAATAGGCTGGACTAAAGCAAAAGTGTTACTTGGAGAAGACTTGCCAAACAGATATCATGAGTTTAGAAATTCCGGATGGGTTAGGAGATCTCCTGCGTGATTTTACTGTGGCTGTCTTGCGTGATAAGCCAAACGATCTCTACGATTTTGCAGTGGATTATTTCTCCAAGGTTAAAGAAACCAGGAAACCGAAATCTATTCCAATGTATGTGATTGTGGACGAAGACGACGAAGGGGCAGGGGAACCAGATAAGGAACAGTTTAAACCTAAAACTAGGAAGTATAATCGTTATGCCAGGCGTCAGTCGGTGTCCGCCGAAAGGTACGACCCGGAAGCGGATGACGATGATGAGGATAAGGTTATTTATCCAAAAACGGACGAACAACGAGAACGCCTGACAGAGGCTGTGTGTGGCATTCTTCTTTTCAGATGTTTAGAGCCAGAACAGATGCAAGATGTCATCGACGCCATGTTTGAGAAGTCGGTAAAACCCGGTGAGTATGTTATTCACCAGGGGGATGATGGAGACAATTTTTACGTCATAGATCATGGTCTTTATGATGTTTTAGTCAATGTAAATGGTCAAGAGAAAAAAATTCATCGTTTTGACAATAAAGGAAGTTTTGGAGAACTAGCTTTGATGTACAACATGCCACGTTCTGCGTCTATTGTAGCCGTATCCGATGGTGTTTTATGGGCCATGGATAGAAACTCATTCCGTAGGATAATATTGCGAAGTGCATTCAAAAAGAGAAAAATGTATGAAGAACTTCTAGAAAATGTCACAATGCTGAAATCCTTAGAACCGTATGAACGAATGAATCTTGCAGACGCATTGGTGACCAGAAATTATTCAGACGGAGAAACAATCATAGCTCAAGGTGATGAAGCGGATGGTATGTATTTCGTGGAATCAGGGATGATCAGAGTTACTATAAATCATCCAGATGGAGGGGAAGAGGAAGTAGGGCGCCATGGCGCCGGAAAGTACTTCGGAGAACTTGCTCTTATAGAAAACAAACCAAGATCAGCCAATGTATACGCCATAGGTAAAGTAAAAGTTGCATTTTTAGAACGTGATTCTTTTGAAAGACTTTTAGGACCATGTCTTGACATTATGAAAAGAAATTCAGAAATTTATAAGAATTATACGGAAACATCTTAAAGTGTGCAATGTATGAGAGAAATTCATATTCATGATGAAACAATGGATCATAGCAACTTTGAAAATTTCATAGACACCAAAGTAACCATTACTTCTCTATAGATATCTACACAATACCGTGTACATGTACACTGATTCTTCAAATTGACATTGAAAATGTTGCTGAAAACATGTACGGAGGTTATAAATCTATTCTAACGTTGAATCAAGCGGGATCAAGAATAACCAGTTAAGCTTTGATTTGCACCCTTCCTGTATTCTATCTAGCTGACATTCTTGATTTCTGCAACGTAAGTGTTCGTTTTTTTAACAGCTGGGGAAAACGATGTGGTGTACTTGATAATAATGGCTAGAGCACTTGGAATTGAACTTTTTCCCAATCATCTTCCTAATTGAAGTAGTGTATGTATTGATTTTGTATTACTCCTTCTCCCCCTATAAAGTATTCATGCATTGCATCCGACAGTCAACGTTACGGTGCTTCAAGGTGTTATTAATTGACAATTAATTTGAATTTGTGAGTAACTGCATATCAATAAATTATTTTTTGTTTACCATTTGAAGTCGAACTGTCAATAAATAAACTGTTGTCACTGTGGAAATTGTATATTTTCAGCAGTGTGTTTTGTGACATTTTGTCATTTGATCTTTATATTTTCTATTGGATACAATACACATCTCAAGGGATGCTATTTATTTTAGTATCAAATGACTCCAGTATGACAATACTTAGTGATACTATTCATATGGTAATTGAAATATTTCTATAGCATGAAATATTTACATATTTTGATCAGTAAAAATATCAATATTGTTGCATTGTGGAACATCTTGAATAACTGTCAAACATTAAAAAAATCGGAAATTTATGATCTCTTGATATATTTGTATGTCTTCAATGAAGAATATTTTGTATCTAAGAAAAGCTAGCCAAAGTCTGATAGCCTTGTAGCCTTGTTTTGTTATGTCATAATTTTAATTGAAGTAAACTCTCTACGATCTGTTATCGAATTTTAAAATATCACTGAATAACTGAAAAAAAAAGTTATATCCAAAAAAAGTTATTCAAGCTGTTCAAAATAAGCACTATTTCAGACAAGTGTTTACGTAGAGAAAGTGGGAAAATCAGAAATTGCCCACAAGAAGGGACTGCCTCCTCTCCGAGTTCCTATGTAGCATGTGATTCAATAAACGATAGCACATGCTTGGTTTAAAGGCACAGGGAACTGCGTCACCTGGATGGCTTAGAACACTGCTGGGCGTCAACACAATGTGTAAACATTGTATATATGACGTGATATGGAATATGAGATCTCCAGTAATAAATATATGGTATTTCTAGGACGGAACCAGGATTTTTTTCCGGCGATAGGTGGTGGGGGTGAGGTTTACATGAATATATGAAAATCCCTGGGGTATTTTATCTGACATGCAAAATAGTAATAATAATCCATCGCAAATGCATGTTCTGGAAATACATACATGAGTTAACTCATAGATATTTCCTAGTGGATGGGAATGTTTATTTTTCAAAGGAGCAGAAAGGGGGTGGGTTAGGCGGCTGTGAGTTACTTTATAAATGTGAAAACTGAAATCTCTGGAGAATAGTTTTGAAGGAAGATCCCTCCCCTAGCACAAAAACACAATTTACATTATATACAGTGAAAAAAGGATTGTGTACAAATTCCACGCTTTACGTAACAATTTTAAAGATATAACAGAAATATAACAGAAATAGTATAGGGATATTCAGGCTACATATTCCATATTATATGGAACCCGGATAGTATCATGTAGTTCACTATCCCATCGTCGCACATGCAGTCGAGGTTTGGGTCGAAATTGCGATAATGATGAAGCAATGGTACAATAGCACGATGACGGTAAAGCGATGGCACGACAATGCGATGGCGATGATACGATGACGATGTAGCGATATTCACTATCGCTCCATCGTGCTATCGCACCATCGTCATTGCGCTGCGTCATCATCATCGCTTTATGCTTGATGGTGCATTAGTGAACTACGTGGTCCTATCCGGATTCCATAATTTTATCACCAACATATACAGAGAATGAATGATTTCAACTTAGTGTTATCCTCTGATTGAAAAAAAATATTTATAAATGATGCAGGAAAATAAACGTTGAATGCAATCCTAGCCATATATAATTTTTGGTAAGGTTTTATCAAGTTGGACTTGGAACTTCCGGTTTACCTGATGGAGAGTATACACCTGTACTATAGAATGTAAGACTGGCTGACTAACACTGCCAGGTGAGTTCATTCTACAGCATTTCATTATCCTAGAAAAAAATACGACATTAACACATTGGATATGTACATTTGTATATGTAGTACTTGTGTCCAGAAGTTCATTCCTACTTTCGTTATTTCCGTTTTAATTGTTATACTCTGACGTAGATTAATGAAAATCAGGCGCTGATACCTATATATTATTATACACCTGGGGATAATTAAGTTCCTACACATATGAAAGACTTGCCCACATACTTACAAGGAGCATAAAATCTATCAGATCATTACCACACATTGTTATCTGCAATCTGAAATTACTATTGAACAAAATATAAGTTTAACACTGAAAAAAGAATTTTTGTCCGAACAGATATACCGCTTGTCATTGAATGATTGATACCTCGGATTACCCATTATATTATTACAGTAATGAAAATGAATAGGAGTTGAAGAGTTTTCAATGCACAGTACTACAAATGTAGCTAATTAAAAAACACACACAGTCACTTTATTTTCAAGACTTCAAAGATCTTAGAGGGTCTTACGATTAGAAAGTCACCAGGAACGACAATCGAACTCTTGACCTGCGATCACGAAGACTAGGCCACTGGAATCAGATGTGGGAAACTGAAGATTTTTTTTTCAAACGTACTTTGAAAATTTTTGATGACAATATAAGTATCAATTATGGACATCGGGAGAATTATATTGTATAAAGATGTAAATATTGAGCTTATCACATAGGGTACATAGCATTTACATGTACCCTCCAGAATATTGTTCAAGATGATGGAGTATCGATGAACAGAAATCACTGTTGTTAATTTAAGAGGGGAAAATGCATGCAAATAAAGTGTTCTAAGGATTTATCTTGACCTTTCAAAATGTTAAGAATGTTTGAATTGATTGCAAATTGAGGAATTCACTGTAGATGTCAATAAATCCAGTTTAAGATCAGATTACTCTAATGGCCTCAAAAAACCACAAAATGTATAGAGGGTCTTAAAAAAGCAGTTGTGTACCATAAGCAGGTAATAAAAATGACAGTCTTATAGAAATAAAAGAAAACTCACAATAATGTTATGGTTTTTATAATATACAATTTTTATCTTCTTCAATTTTTCTTTATGCTTTGGGAAAATATTGTTTCATGGTATAACTATTCACGCAATTTCAACCACAGGAGTTGGCATGCCTATCAATTTTATCGAAATTATTAGGAAATAAAAAAGTAATACCTATAATAATAACACGTGTTATTATAGGTATCACTTTTTTTAATTTCCTAATAATTTCGGTAAAATTGATGTATGTCAGCTCGTACAGCGATCGGCAATCCTCGGCTAATTCCGTTAAACTCCATTGTCGAGTGTCCGAAAAATCAAATTTGAAGAACTTTTTATCTGCTGCATACCTCTGTTTCCATTAATGAACTGACTTTACATTTCACGAAATAATAATTCTTGCCTCGGCAGCGTGTCAGGAACTTGAATCACGGCACTAACTCGACGGTCATCGTCATGCTAACTGCTAATAGACTGGTCAAAGGCTTAAAATAAAACCATTTTATTCTTTACAAAATTTTTTTTCTGTATAATAGTATTAATATTGTAGTGAAACATCTGTTTTATTCTCAGGATTTACATAGGACCAATGTCTGTAATATAAATATGTTGGATAGGAAAGTTTTTTGTCTTTACGAGAGATGCTAACAATATATGTTTCAAATTACAAAGTCATTGATCACCTACTTTGATCACCTACGCTTCTTTTTTATATTATATGGGGATTAATATAAAAAAAGAGAAAATAAATGAAATAATGATAAATACAAAAACAATTAATCAAAAGAAATGAAGTAAACATGGTACAATCATGAGCTGGTACGCAAACTACGTCATTTGTACACTTAACACAATGAAACAAATAGTATACAAATGAAACACAGTAGGAATATTTTTTGTGGATAACTGATACAAACCAATGGCGAAGTAGATCTTGCTTAGACACAAAAATGTAACAGGCATGAAAAAATATTCCATTTATATTCTACAGTAAAAAAAAAAAAAAACTTGACTAGTCCGGATGTCGAAATCTCGCTTATTACGATGAAAATTTTCCTATAGTAAATTCAGTTGATTTAAATGTTGTCTAATACGTTATGTTGTCTTTTCCGGTGAATATGCAGGGAACCAATGGCGTCTGGATTTTACTTGTTTTACTTTAAGTGATTTTCCCGTGTCTATGTTTTACTTATAGTGATGTTCCCGTGTCTGTGTTTTACTTATAGTGATGTTCCTGTGTGTTTGTTTTACTTATAGTGATGTTCCCGTGTCTGTGTTTTACTTATAGTGATGTTCCTGTGTCTACGTTTTACTTATGGTAAAATTCCTGTGTCTGTGTTTTACTTATAGTGATGTTCCTGTGTCTGTGTTTTACTTATAGGGATAATCCCGTGTCTGTGTTTTACGTATAGTGATGTTCCTGTGTCTGTGTTTTACTTATAGGAATGTTCCTGTGTCTGTGTTTTACGTATAGTGATGTTCCCGTGTCTGTGTTTTACTTATAGTGATTTTCCCGTGTCTATGTTTTACTTATAGTGATGTTCCCGTGTCTGTGTTTTACTTATAGTGATGTTCCCATGTGTGTGTTTTACTTATAGTGATGTTCCCGTGTCTGTGTTTTACTTATAGTGATGTTCCCGTGTCTGTGTTTTACTTATAGTGATGTTCCCGTGTCTGTGTTTTAGTTATAGTGATGTTCCCGTGTCTATGTTTTACTTATAGTGATGTTCCCGTGTCTATGTTTTACTTATGGTGAAGTTCCCGTGTCTGTGTTTTACTTATAGTAATATTCCCGTGTCTGTGTTTTACTTATAGTGATGTTCCCGTGTCTGTGTTTTACTTATAGTGATGTTCCATGTGTGTGTTTTACTTATAGTGATGTTCCCGTGTCTGTGTTTTACTTGTAGTGATGTTCCCGTGTCTATGTTCTACTTATAGTGATGTTCCCGTGTCTTTGTTTTACTTATAGTGATGTTCCCGTGTCTATGTTTTACTTATAGTGATGTTCCCGTGTCTGTGTTTTACTTAAAGTGATGTTCCCGTGTCTGTGTTTTACTTATAGTGATGTTCCCGTGTCTGTGTTTTACTTATAGTAATTTTCCCGTGTCTGTGTTTTACTTATAGTGATGTTCCCGTGTCTGTGTTTTACTTATAGTGATGTTCCTGTGTCTGTGTGTTTCAAGAAATGCAGAAAAAAACTAGTACAATATATACAAAATATTTCTTTTTGCTAAAATTTACTCATTTTCCTCCTTAAATAAGGAATTTTAAATCTTAGGATAACGAGTGATGAAGAACTTGCATGCCATATATATAGCATATGGGATCCCATATTCCGGGATTAAACCTTTGTATTTACGTAAAATCATATGTTATTGTTACAATATAATTATAACACAATGCTTAGAAATGTGCAAAGAAACCTAAAGCATATTTTTCAATTACGTATTTTGTTTATTGGTTGGTATAGATTTTCACAGCCTGGCTTGACGTCAATAGGACTAGTACTGTTAAGTCATCACACAATTATTTTGATTAATACTA